TTCTGTAAGGGACATAAGCCCTGTTTTAGGTTTCTGAAAAGACAAAATCAGCGTTTACTATATAACCAAAGGTCCTAGACCCATGGGGTCTTCAGCAATGACATTTGGGACCAATGACCTTGACAAAGGTCACGAGGTCAAAGATCAAAGGTCATGTCCAAGATGAAGAATTATGTGTTTTTGACCTTATCTAAAGTATTTTCAGTGTGTTTTAAAGCTTTTTAAGGTTGACCTTGACCTTTGACCTAACCACTTTTTATTGGATATCTCAAAAACGAATATACTTACAGAAATCGTCAGTAGTGAAAAATGTTTGGGTCATAGAGGCAAAACTTTTTTACATTATGACCAAAGAGATTTGACCTATCTGTAAGGGGCATAACCCCAATTGACTGTTTCTGAAAAGACTAAATTAGCTTTTACTCTTGAACCAAAGGTCCTAGACCCATGGGGTCTTTTGTAATGACATCCTGGACCAATGACCTTGACAAAGGTCATAAGATCAAAGTCAAGGTCATGTCCCAAATAGCGACTTTTTTGTTTTTTGTCATATTTTAAGGGTTTTAAGAGTGTTAAAGAGCTTTTCAATGCATTCTACGCCTATGGAAACATATATTTTACATTATGAAAAGGAAAGACCTCTCAATTGTTCAAGAACAATTGACATTTTAATTATTATTATTATTCTTTTTGTTCCGCCAAACTTTGACAAAATTTCCCTCAGTAACTGTAAGCCATGTTGCTTTCAGGTTCACACTTTGTATCGGTGTCACAAATACCTATCCGGAACTCACCCTGTGAGTCGTAAAATTTTGTCGGTCCGGAGTTATCCCTCCGAAACCTAAAAACCTTGTTATCATTCAAACACCGTAACCTTAATAGGTAGAAAAAAAGCAAAGGGTGAAATTTGTTCAGGACCAGACCCCGGTTCTTCGTTACATTTGGATGGAAAAGATTCAACGACTCATTGGTAGGGTTTTGCCCCTTTGAAAATTAACCGGGGTCGGTTGGCCACAAAAACTCAGAAACCGTAAGTCCTAGCCACCTAGGATCTTCACCAATGATCATCAATTCATGTGACTTTCAAAATGCCTCACGGTCAAATTTGTATGTTGACCTTGACCTTTGACCTTACTACTTGTTATTGGATAATCTCAGAAACCATTATACTTACAGAAGTTTTGAATAGTGGAAAATGTTTGGGTTATTAAGGCGCAACTTTGTTACATTTAGACCGAAGAGATTTAACCTTTCTGTTAGGGGCATAACCCCTGTTTTAGGTTTCTGAAAAGACAAAATCAGCTTTTATTATATAACCAAAGGTCCTAGATCCATGGGGTCTTCAGCAATGACATTTGGGACCAATGAGCTTGACAAAAGTCACAAGGTCAAAGGTCAAGGTCATGTCCCAGATAGCGAATTATGTGTCTTTGACCTTATTTAAAGGATTTTTAGTGTGTTTCAAAGCTTTTTAAGGTTGACCTTGACCTTTGACCTTACAACATTTTATAGGATATCTCAAAAACGATTATACTTACAGAAATAGTAAATTGTGAAAAATGTTTAGGTGACTAAGGCACAACTTTTTTACATTATGACCGAAGAGATTTGACATATCATTAAGGGGCATAACCCCCGTTAACTCTTTCTGAAAAAACCTAAATTAGCTTTTACTCTTGAACTTAAGATCCTAGACCCATGGGGTCTTTTATAATGACAAAGTGGACCAATGACCTTCACAAAGGTCACAAGGTCAAAAGTCAAGGTCATGTCCTAAATAGCGAATTTGTTGTTTTTTATCATTAATTAACGGTTTTATGTGTGTTTGAGAGCTTTTCAATGCATTTTACATCTATTGGGACATGTATTTTACATTACGAAAAGGAAAGACCTCTCAATTGTTCAAGAACAATTTACATTTTAATTATTATTAAGGTCTTTCCTTTTTCTATAAGGAAAGACCTTACTGTATTTCTTCCATTTATTAAGGTCTCTCCTTTTTCAAAAGGGAAAGACCTTACTGTATTTCTTCTGTTTATTATTATTATTATTATTATTTTTATTCTTTTTCCGCCAAATTTTGACGAAGTTAATAGCCTTAACCGTAAGATGTGTCGCTTTCATGTTCACACTTTGTTTCGGTGTCATGAATACCTATCCAGAACTCACCCTGTGAGTCGAAAAATTTTGTCGGTTCGGAGTAATCCCTCCGAAACCTAAAAACCTTGTTATTATTTAAACACCGTAACCGTAATAGGTAGAAAAAAACCGAAGGGTGAAATTTGTTCAGGACCAGACCCCGGTTCTTCGTTACATTTGGATTGAAAAGATTCAACCACTCATTGGTAGGGTTATGCCCCTTTGAAAATTAACCGCAGTCGGTTGGCCCCCGTAAGTAGTAGACACCTAGGATCTTCACCAATCATCATCAATTGATATGACCCTGAAAAATATCCCAAGGTCAAATTTGTATGTTGACCTTGACCTTTGACCTACCACCTTGTTATGGAATAATCTCAGAAACCATTATACTTACAGAAGTTTTGAATAGTGGGAAATGTTTGGGTCATGTCCCAGATAGCGAATTATGTGTCTTTGACCTTATTTAAAGGATTTTTAGTGTGTTTTAAAGCTTTTTAAGTTTGACCTTGACCTTTGACCTTACAACATTTTATATGATATCTCAAAAACGATTATACTTACAGAAATAGTAAATAGTGAAAAATGTTTAGGTGACTAAGGCATAACTTTTTTACATTATGACCGAAGAGATTTATTTTTAATTATTATTATTCTTTTTCCGCCAAACTTTGACGAAGTTAGCAGCCTTAACCTTAATGATCTTGTTAAATATGGCATTCAGAAGAAATGGTCCTAAATTGAATGGAAAATGGCACTTCATTTTGAGTCACGCAATAACTTTAAAACCGTTCAATATGTTCAACCAAAGCTTCCAGATTTTAATGAGTTGTTACTGATAACGAAAATGAGGTCTGTTCAATATTGACAACATTTTCGTCATGGCCCTTGATTTATTGGACAATGGCAGTTTATTTCATCTTAGCACTATAATTTCAGAACTGTTCATGCAACTAGTTCTTTTCAGATTCTGATAAGTTTGTTTCTGTTTATATTAAGGAAGCCAAGGCTGGTTCTGGGAATTTTCACTTTTGCTGTTCAGCAGTTATGGTCCTTAACCATATTAAAGAGAGGCGAAAGACACCTAAGTGATATTCAAACTGATAAGCCGAAAACAAACTGACAATGCAAAAACGAAAAACGACCAAAAGACAATTAACACTACACATAACACAATATAGAAACTTAAAGACTGGGCAGCACAAATCCCACTAAAAACCGGGGATTGTATCAGGTGCTCCTGAAGGGTGATCAGATCCTTTTCGTGGCACCCGTCGTGTTGCTAACTGGTTAAAAGTCTAATTCGGTTGGTCACATTCGAGTAAAAGAGGATGGGATTGTGGTTACTACAATTGGAACATATCCGTCGTCATCTGTGAAACAATATCCCATGGCAATAAAAAAAAACTCGTTAAGGCGTCCGTCCTATTTTGAAGGAATGATTTCAACTTCAGCACTTTGAACTTTTGTATTGAAATCTTCCTTGTAAGCAGCAGCCCTTTACCAAAGAGATTATGATAGGAAATGCAAGCTCTTGAATATCGTATCAATTGGGAGATATATACTCCGTATCCAGGCGCTGCTGGAATGTTGCTACATAGAAATGAAAAATTCACAATTGGCAAGCTGAAATCGTTTTTTGTCGTAAAGTTTTTGTTCTCATCCGACCCTCATTGTCAATTTCTAGATGTAAGTCAGGAAATGAGGCAGACTTAACTGTATCGGCTGTGTCCTTTATTTCAAGTTCAATGGAATAGATGCATTCAACATAATCACCAAACTTTAAACTATTTAGTGAGCGCTTGTCACCTATATTGCGGAACATGAAGATAAAGGATGATGCTAGCTTCTTTTTATTCTTCATTAGAAACTCCTGTATGAAGTAAGCCTCGTATGAATAAAGGAACAAGGCAGCAAGAAGAGGAATACAGTTGGTTCCTATTGGAATGCCGATTGTTTGCTGGGAAACACGTCCTCCCAACAACTGTTACTGCTATACCAACGTCGCCAATACATATATAAAAAACTCAGTTTGCTGTGGTTTTTGCACAACCTGTTGTTCATACATGTTATATATATAATATTCAATGTCAATGTAATCAGTTGCTGTCAATTGATTATTACAATGATTGGCAAACACACATTCCGTATGTGTAATTTTGTAAATTAATTCAATAATACAAATGTCAAGATTATGCTTACACACTAAATGTACACTAATATTTTGATATGTGCACATTTTGTAAACAGAATTTCACATTCTTCTATGTTTAAACTTGATGTATGTTGTATTTAAGGCCAATTTGAAACAATGACACTGGATATTCTGTTCTTAATTATATATATATTATATAATATAAAAATAAGAAGATGTGGTATAATTGCCAATGAAACAACTCTCCACCACAGACCGAATTACATAGAAATTAACAACTATAGGTCATCGTACGGCCTTCGACCATGATTAAAACCCATACCACATAGTCAGCTATAAAAGGTCCCGAAATGACAAATGTAAAACAATTCAAACGAGAAAAAACTAACGGCCTGATTTATGTAAAAACAATGGATGAAATACATATATAAGATACAGAAACAAACGACAACCACTGAACAACAGGCTCCTGACTTGGGACAGGCACATACAGAAAGGGGCGGGGTTAAACATGTTATTGGGCGCCCAACCCTCCCCTAACCTGGGATAGTGGTGTAACAGTTAAACACATGAACAAACTATTAAAGTCAGTTGAAAAACAAACAACCGGATCCAATCTTTGATTAAAGCGAGTAGAAGTTCCATAATAGATTTTGTTTTAATAAATGTAGTGTGAAATGAAAATTAGCTAGAATTTGTAGTTACTGCAATCATTATTTTTTTTCAGCGAAAGGAACAACTGTATGTGTTGCAGTTCTTGTAATGTTTATGCTTATGTTATTAATATCAAGTAAGTAGTTGCTTAAAACGAAGATCGTCGGTTATAACGTTTGTATTAAGACCCCCCCGGGGGGGGGGGGGGGCGGGGGGGGGGGGGTGCAATACCTTTTTCTGTTAATCTGTTTTGGGCTATTTGAAGGTGTTGTTAACTGTTGTTTGAAATATATATAAACTGTTAACTGTTTTCAACCCACTGTCTGTTATCTGTTCTGTTAAAATTGGCAATGCTGTTAACTGTTATATGAAAATTTAATTCCGGTTATCTGTTACTTGATACTTAAAGTGTTTACTTATTTGACATAATTTATCGCCATTACGTAGAGATAATATAACGTTCACAGAAAAGAAAGAAATTCTCGTGTTTCTTACAGTGTTGATATATATAAAAATAAGGAGATGTAGTATAATTGACAATGAAACAAAGTTCAAATGAAGTAGATATAAGCAATTCTAGGCGCGGTCACCACACATTTTGGCACCATGACAAATCGGCACCAAGGTCCAGAAACATTTCGGCACCGTTTTGGACAATTTGGCACCTCATTTTTATACGACCGCAAATTTATTTACGTTCGAATTATGTTATTGTGTTGTCTGCGTCTGCGTCTGAAGACATTTTTACTCACAGACAATAACTTGGATATAAGCTCATGGATCTCTATGAAATTTTAGCAAGAGGTTCCATACCACTAAAGGATGATTGAAATTGTTTTTAGGGGCGGTTTTGTAATTAGGGGCAAAAAAAGTCAGTTTTACCTGTTCATGGAAAATAAATTGGTTCGCAGACAATAACTTTAGTATAAGTGTATGGATGTGTAAGAAATTTTAACACAAGGTTCCATACGACAATAAGAGGGTTGGGATTGATTTTGGAGGTTATGGTCTTAGCTGTTTTGTAATTAGGGGCCAGCAAGGGGCCAAACACAATTATTTGTCTGGTTGTAGGACAATGACTTGAGTATAAGAGATATTTGTCTGGTCAAAATTTTAGCACAAGGTTCCACACTACAATAGGAAGGTTGGGAATAATTTTGGGGGTTATTGTCATAGTTGTTTAGGAATTAGGGGCCAAAAAGGGCCTAACAAAAACAATTTTTTGTCAGGTTCACAGACAATAACTTGAATATAAGTGTATGGATCTCTATAACATTTTAGCACAAGGTTCCATACCACAATAGGAAGGTTGGGATTTAATATGGGGGTTATTGTCGTAGCTCTTTAGGATCTAGGGGCCAAAAAGGGACCAAAACAAGCATTTTTCATGTTTCAGGACAATAATTGGTGTATAAGATTATAGATTTCTATGAAATTTTACAAGGTTCCATACTTCAAAAGGAAAGTTTTGATTGATTTTTGGAGGGTCATGGCCCATACCGTTTAATAATAAGGGGTCGAAAAGGGGCCGAAAACAATTTTTTTTCTGGTTTGCAGGCAATAACTTGAGTATAAGTGTATGGATCTCTATTTAATTTTAGCACACGGTTCCATGCCACAATAGGAAGGTTGGGTTTATCTTGGGGGTTATTGTAGTAGCTGTTTAGGAGTTAGACGCCAAAAAGGGCCTAACAAATGCAATTATTTGTCTGGTTCATAGACAATAACTTGAGTATAACTGTAAAGATCTCTATTAAATTTAAGCACAAGGTTCCATACCACAATAGGAAGGTTGGGATTTATTTTGAGGGTTATTGTTGTAGCTGTTTAGTAATTAAGGGTCAAAAAAGGGTCAAAAACAAGCATTTTTCATGTTTCAGGACACTAATTTTTGTATAAGAGTATGGATTTCTATGAAATTTTTTCTACAAGGTTTCATACTTCAAAGGGAAAGTTTGGATTGATTCTAGGGGTCATGGTCCAAACCGTTTAATAATAAGGGGCTGAAAAGGTACCAAAAAACTAGGATTTTCTGATTTTTAGACAATAACTTTAGTATAAGTCTATTTATTGATATTAAATGTGCCACAAGGTGTTACATGTATACCATAAATTATAGTTTGGGATTAATTTTAGGGGTTATGACCCTATTGGTTCAGTTAAAAGGGGCCACAACCAATACTTTGTATAAATTGCCAATTTATTTAGCAATTTCAATGGGGTTTAATTCAAAGAATTGAATTCTTGGGAGTTTTTAATATGCTGAATCTAATTGGGTATTTAGAATTTGGATTTTAGGGTTTGTTTTTGAAATGATCCATATTAAGGTCCAAAGGGTCCAAAATTAAACTTTGTTTGATTTCTTTGAAAACTAAATTATTGGTGTTCCTTGAAAAAAAAAAACATCTTGGGGTTCTTTGGTATGCTGAATCTAAGCGTGTATTTAGATTTTTGATTTGGGGCATGGTAGGTCCACATTAAGGTCCAAAGGGTCTAAAATTAAACTTTGTTTGATTTTAGAAAAAAAAAAGAATGGTTGGGGTTCTTTGATATACTGAATTTAGATTTTTGATTTTGGGCACAGTATTGAAGATGGTCCAAGTTGGGGTCCAAAATTGAACATTGTTTGATTTCATCAAAAATTAAATTGTTTGTGTTATTTGATATGGTTAATCCAACAGTGTTTTAGATTTTTTTGATTTTTTGCTTGGTTTTCAAAGTTGGTCCAAATTTGGGTCCAAACTTAAACTTTGTTTGATTTTTTCAAAAATTAGATCATCGGTGGTCTTTAATATGTGCAATCTAACAGTGTTGTAAATTTTTGATTTTGGACCCGTTATTCAAACTGGACCCCATAAAGGTCCAAAGTATCCAAAATAAAACTTAGTTTGATTTTAACAAAAAATAAAACAATGTGGTTATTTGATATGCTGAATCCAACTATGTATTTAGAATTTGAATATTGGACCATAATTGGTAAAAGTCCAATTTTCAAAATTATTTTAGAACTAATACCACATTCATTCTGTGTCAGAAACTATGCTATTATTACATATTTGCCCATAATCTAAATTCAGATATGTTATTGCACAATTTACAGAAATTTTAAGTTGGGTCATATTTGAAAATAGATATAACACCATATCTAGTTTTAGAGAACTATTTTTGTGGTTTACATCACTGGTTCATGGAAAATGAATTGGTTCATGGAAAATATATTGGTTCACAGACAAGTACTTTAGTATAAGTGTATGGATGTGTATAAAATTTTTACACAAGGTTGTTCCTTTGTTTTTCTCTTATAGTTGATGTGTTTCCCTCGGTTTTAGTTTGTAACCCGGATTTGTTTTCTCTCAATCGATTTATGACTTTTGAACACCGGTATACTACTGTTGCCTTTATTCCATACCACAATAGGAGGGTTGGGATATTAAATAGTTAATCAAGCTCTACATTTATAGATTTATTGCACAATTAATAGAAATTATAAATTGAGTCATAGTTTAAAATAGATTTGCTGAATCAGATATATTAATTGTGGCGATAATTGTGTATGCATTGTGTTCTATTTAAAGACTGTTAACATGTTTGAATATTTTCTTATGGTTGAAAATTCCCTTGGAAATTAAAATAGACCTTTATCCATCTGTTGAAGTGGAACTGTAGGGAAGTGAAGTTTCTAAATACAATTGTGCCATACATTATGTTAATATGTTACATCTTAATAAAAAAAATATGTTATTTTTAGATAATAATCTATTTTTTATAAATGATGTATTTCATTACAATATAGTGTGTAAAGTTGTTGACATTGATAGATAAGGTGCAGATATAAGTTTGTGACAAATGAAAGAAAAAATATTTGGAACTATAATAATTAATTATATATATAAAATTTGATTACACTAAGTGTTTTTATACGATCTAAAATTTATTTGCCTTCTTTGATTTTTGTTGTTGTTTGTTTTCCAGTATGATAACTGTGAAATACCATGCCCAGACTGAAAAGAAAATCTACATAAATGATAATAAATGATCGTAAAAAAAAATGAGGTCCAAAAGGTCCTAAATAAAACTTTGTTGGATTTCTTCAAAAATTGAATTCTTGGGGTTCTTTGATATGCTGATTCCAACCATGTATTTAGAATTTGGATATTAAACCATAATTGGTAAATGTCCAATTTAAAATTATTTAAGAACTTATACCACATTCATTCTGTGTCAGAAATTATGCTATTATTAAATATTTAATCAGAATCTAAATTCAGAGATGTAATGCGCAATCAACAGAAATTTTAAGTTGAGTCATAGTTGAAAATAGATACAGCATCATATCTAATTTTAGAGAAGAAATTATTTATTGAAATAGTTTGAAATTTACTGTTCATTATTATATATTTTGAAAAATAATTAAATAGATTTTTTAAAGACTTTGCATCAATGAGGAATAATATTTTGGAAGTGTTTTTTTTTTTCATTTTTTTACAATACTTTTCTTATTACTTTGTATAAATTGCTTATTTCTTTACCAACTTCAATGTGGTTTAATTCAAAGTCTTGAATTCATGTGGTTCTTTGATATGCTGTATCTAACCGTGTATTTAGATTCAAGATTTTGGGCTCCATATTTGAATTGGTTCAAGGGTCCAAAATTAAACTTTGTTTGATTTCATCAAATATTGAATTATTGGTGTTCTTTGATAAGTATGCATTTATATTTTAATTTTGGGGTCGTCTTTCAAATTGGTCCACATTAAGGCCCAAAGAGTCCAAAATTATACTTTGTTTGATTTTAAAAAAAATTGAATTCTTTGGGTTCTTTGACATGCTGAATCTAACTGTGTATTTTAATTTTTTGATTTTGGGACCGGTTTTCAAACTGGTCCACATAGTCCAAAATTAAAGTTATTATTATTTTATGAAAAAAGGAATTCAAGGTTTTTTTTGCTAAACTGAATCTTAGCATGTATTTAGATTTTTGATTTTGGGCCAAGTTTTCAGTTGGTCTAAATCGGGAGCCAAAATTAAACTTTAAATGATCCACATTGATGTCCAAATGGTCTTAAATTAAAATTTGTTTGAATTAAAAAAAAAAAACGAATTCTTGGGATTCTTTGATATGCTGAATCTAACCGTGTATTTAGATTTTGGAAATAGAGCCATGATAGGTAAAAGTTCAATTTCAAATTTTTCAGTTTTTCGACCACATTCATTCTGTGTCAGAAACCTATGCTATATCAAATATTTAATCACAATCCAAATCCAGAGCTGTACCAAGCTTGAATGTAGTGTCCATACTTTCCCCAACTGTCCAGGGTTCGACCTCTGCGGCCGTATCAATATTTTCTCTATGTTTCTCCGGGTAAAAGAATGGCTCTGTGTTTTTGCAATCTTGGTTGTGAGGAAAATGAAAAACATTTCCTACTTGAATGCGAACTTTATGATGACTTTCGGTATAATTTATTTTCCGAATGCTCTCAATATATTGATCACTTTAACAACCTTAATATTGAGAATAAATTTATAAAAATCATGAACTGTTCAAATATCCAACGCTATTTTTTGTAAAATATTACATACGTTTATATTCGCAGAAAGTTATTTTCATTGTGTATATTTTATTAAGAATTTTTAACTGTTCTAAAACGCAGATATTTTTATCAGTAGAAATGTTTAATTACAGACATTAATTATAAAGCATGTTATACGTCTATTTCAACCATAGTCAAGATTTTTTTATATATTTAGATTTTGTTTATATTTTTTTTTACAACTTTACAGATATAAGAAACACTTTTAATTAGCAATGTTTAGTTGTCTTAATTTTGATAATTATTGTATAAGGTTCTATACTGCTAGTGACTCATAAGTCAGATTTTTATGGCTCGATATTGATTGTTTTATGTGTAAATAGTACAAATGATGTAGACGTTTTATGACAATCAATATGTGACACTTTAATGAATAAATCTATTATTATTATTATGATTATTAATTTCGAATCGGTAAGCCGACCACCAAAACAAATAACTGTAACAGTAACCGTAATTTCCTATACTTTCACAATATCAGACGACAGTGTATACAGTGCCACAATGTTAATTTTTGGTTCAACATACTTTGAACAAGGAATTGATAAGGTCTGAAAGCTAATAAATGAAATTAACACAAGGTTGATTTAAGCTTTATGAGGTGCCGATTTGTATATGTGAGGTGCCGATTTAGTTAGATGCCGACTTGTCTAGGTGACGAAGTGTCTTTCTCCGTAGCCGATTTGTTCTGGCGCCGATTTGTCTTGGTGCCAAACTGTCTTGAATTCCTTATAGACAACCGTATGGCCTTCGACAATGAGAAAAACACATATCGTATAGTCGGCTACAAAATTCCCCGATATGAAAGATTTTAAATAATTCAATTGAGAATACTAACGGCCTAATTTATAACGAAACAATGTATGAACTTTAGAATGATTCAATGACTTTTGATGTTTTGCATAGTTTACATGGTAAAGTTTGTGATAAGGTCAGTTGAAGGGTAACCACTTCTGATAAGTCAATGATATTAGGATTGCAGTTGTATTAACATTGGCATATCTCATTTCCGTGAATATTATTTAACTTAGAACCTTCAGTCATGGTTCGTTGACTTTGAATGTTGTGCATACTTTACATGTTAAAGTATTGTCATTTTAATATCGACATTTGCATTTCAGTACAGCTTTTGTCACATAGCTCTTCATGTATTTGGGTACTTATTCATCCTTGGCTGTCTATTTGTTAGGTTTGTGCTTTAATGGCGAAGGTAAACACAGGAAAGAGCTTCGTACACACCAAATTTATCAAGTGTTATTTTCATTGTCAAAGATTAAATAAGGTTAACCTTTTAGTTTTCAAATATGTTAGCCTCAGACATCACCAAAGAGACATCAGTTGTCGAAATGCACATCTTGTGCAATAAAATTTGTTCCATTAATGCAATTACTAATACCGAGTCTATACATCTGTTTATGGACTAGTGTTCCCCGAAAGTATCACCAGCTAGGTAGCTCTGTACCTCTGTACTGGCATGATATTACGGACAGTGTTTTATGGAAATGTGCTGTTATCAATCTCAGAAAAATCTTTCAAATAAAAGAATATATTTCATGCATAGCTCTGGTTTCTTATCTCTGTTTCGCTTTTCAGTTTTGTCCTATTTCAGTTATTAGGTTTTTGATTTTCATATATTTTGGCCTCGTTCATAAGTGAAGATCCATGAATATAGTTGAAAGTTAATCTAGTGCACTTAAATTGGTACCGTTAATTCAATTACCAGTTTGGTTCTACTGGCTATAATGTTAATTTTTCAGTGTTTAATAGTGTCTTTTATGCATACAAAGATGTGTGATTTAGTCATATCATTGATTTCTATACGAAATGCATTATGTTAATGATCACAATTAATTTCTTTATTTTCAGTTATATTTTTTGTATGGCCTATCTTAATAAAATGTTTGTTCAGATCGGAACGCCAATGTACAGGTTTGTACTTTCATAAATTCAACACAGCCAAAAAAAGACCACACAAAAATATATAATGACAGTGGATAAGTCTAAACTTTATTGAATGACTGCAATTAAATTAATAAGTTATCGTCCACCCTTTTTCAGAGGCTGTTCAGATCAAATTGACTGTTTCAGATAAAAATAAATTATGACTAGTATGCTGAGCCGGACTCAACTAGTTTAACCAGGTGACTGAAATCGCAATCTCGGCAAATATATAACGAACACAACTTGTTTTGAAAATTGTAATTATAGTATTCCACCAGAAAGGTTTACAAGTAGGCAGTAGATTGTTTGTGGTAAACTGCAATAAAACAAAAGGAAATACTTACAATGTGTATGAAAGAGCATATTAAAGTTCATATGCAAATATTTAAAACAATGAAATGAAAACGAAAGTAGAATTTACAGTTCCAATCTCGGTTATAAATAACTTACAGTTCGTATGCATTTAATAAATCACTTATCCAAATTAACGGACTTAAACAGATTAAATTATCACAGTTTATAAATGAATAAAACGTACTTGACAGTGATATGTCTCGATTTCCTCAGAAAATTAAATGTCGTCCATGTTACATGTGTTGAAATATTGAAGCAGACGGTGTCACAGAAATTAAAGGCAGTCAATACGTACGGTGATGTAAAAAATCGGTCCAGTGATATTTGTTCCGGATGATTATGAAAACATATAGTAAACATTGAATGTGAAACAGAATACTCCCCGTCTGATGTCTAACTGATATCACTATTCCAAAAACTATATACAATCGTTCTCTATGAGAAGAATCATGTCCACGATTGGGCGTGTGTAGATGGTGGCTTTTCCATTTACGATGATTCGTACTTCTGCTTTCCGGACATGTTCGTCGGAACTCTTAAATGAATTTACTATAACGCCTATGGGCCATTGAGTACGGCAAAGGTTTTTATCCTTTAGGATAATGACGTCTCCTTTGATGAGATCACGGCGATCTTCGGTCCATTTTCGTCGTGGTTGTAGTAACGGCAGGTACTCTTTCCTCCAACGGGACCAGAAAACACTGGCAAGAGCCTGTACACGTCTCCATTTGGCTAGACATAGATCCTGTCTGTCGAATTCTCCAAGCTGATCTGAAGTGAAGATGTAATCGGTCTTTTGTGTCAATAACATAGCTGGCGTTAAGATTAACGGATTCTCTGGATCTGTCGATACCGGTACCAGAGGTCTAGAGTTCACTATTGCTAAAACTTCTGCCATTAGTGTGTTGAGCACGTCGTGCGTTAGGCTTCTTCCTGCTGCGTTTAGAAGCATAGAATCAAGAATTCTCCTTGCGATACCAATCATTCTTTCCCAGGCTCCACCCATGTGGGACGAATGTGGCGGATTGAAGATCCAAGTTGTACCAGAATTGTACAGAAAGTTCTTGGAGGGTCCATCTTCGACGTTGATTGAGTCAATCTTTAAATCGTCGATTGCGCCAATAAAGTTTGTTCCACGGTCAGATCGGAGAATCTTAACTTGACCTCTTATAGCGGCGAATCTTCTGACGGCATTTATGAAGGCTGAAGAGCTCATTTCCTCGATTAGTTCGATATGAACAGCTCTTGTCACTAAGCATGTGAAAAGAATTGCCCAACGTTTTGAGTTGGCGTATCCACCACGTGTTTTACGTGAAACAATTGTCCAGGGTCCAAAGGTGTCTATTCCAACGTTAGTAAACGGAGGTGACGGTGCAAGATGGTCCTCTGGCAAAACAGACATGATTTGATACTCAGTTTTTCCTCTGAGTTTGCGGCATGTCACACATTTGTGAATAATAGAAGAGATCAAGCGTTTTGCTCCGACGATCCAGAATCCTGCGGATCGAATCGCTCCATCTGTGAAGTGGCGACCTTGATGTTTTATCTTGTCATGGTAGTGTCAGACTAATAATGTCGCTATATGATGGCGTCCAGGGACGATCAATGGTTTCTTTTCACGGAGGTTTAAGTCAGATTTGACAATACGGCCTCCTACTCGTAATAGTCCTCTTTCGTCCAGAAACGGATTGAGGTTAGCTATCGGGCTCCGCTTATGAATTTGTTCCTGACGTTTTATGCAATCTATTTCATCTCCGTAAACTTCATGTTGTGCAGATATTTAGATGAAATTTTCGGCATTCGAAAAACTTTCCAGAGAAGTTACTGGTGCTGCCTGTTTTGACCCGTGTAAACGGGAGAAACGTTCCAAAAAGGCTATCGCTCGCACAAGTGATGTCCAGTTGGAGAAACGGTTGAATCTATCAGTTCCGATACCTTTATGCTCAGATGTGGCAGATGTTTTTGCAACATTCACAGTTGCACGGATTTCTCCATCTTCTTCTGGATCTATTAGCTGATATATGTCCTCAGAATTCTTCTGTTCTGAGGAAAGAAGTTGTTTTGGTCCCAATAACCATTCACTGCTATGAATTTCATGGGCTGGTACGGACCTAGTTCCCGAGTCTGCGGGATTACGGTTAGTTGGTACATAATTCCATTGACTTGGAGAGCTAAATTTCCTTATTTTCTCTACTCTATTGGCGACGTAGATAAAGAACCTTCTTGTCTCGTTACTGATGTAACCTAAGACCACTTTACTGTCTGTATAGAATTTCACGGTGTCTATGTGTAAATCTAAATTATCCACGATGGTTTGTGTGATCTCAACTGCTAGTACGGCAGCAGATAGTTCAAGTCGAGGAATAGTATGACCACTTGTAGGTGCAACTTTTGCTTTCCCAAGAATGAACCCCATGTTAGGTTCACCACTACTGTTGGTCGTGCGTAGATATGCAACAGCTGCTATGGCTTTTTCCGACGCATCGGAGAAGACGTGTAACTCCTCTGTGGCGGTTTTGCTGAGATAAGGCACGTAGGTACGTGGAATGCGCAATGTTTCAATAGCAGTTAGAGTATCTCTCCAAGATTTCCACTTAGCTGCTGTCTCCTCAGAGAGAGGTTGGTCCCAATTGACGGTTTCTGATACTATTTTCCTTAATAGGAGTTTCCCTTGTATAATCACCGGAGCCAAAAATCCCAGAGGATCGTAGAGACTGTTTATCGTTGATAAAATTCCTCTCCGAGTGATCGGTTTGTTTTCTGATGACAATTGAAATAAGAAGTTGTCAGTGTTTACGTCCCAGCTGAGCCCAAGACTACGTTGTAGGGGTTTGCTGTCGGATTCTAAGTCTAGATCCTTCAGATTTGAAACCAAATCACTGGCATGAAACGCAGACATAACTTCCGCACAATTAGAGGCGAACTTGTGAAGCCGTAAGTTTCCATACATGCTTGCTGTGTATCCTTCATGAGCTTAACAGCTTCCTCTTTTGTAGAACATGATGTAAGACCGTCGTCGACATAGAAGTCTCTTGTAACAAAGCTAGTCACGTGACTGCCGAACTCTTGTTCTGATGCCTGAGCTGCTTTTCTGAGTCCAAGCGTAGCAACGGCAGGTGACGGACTATTTCCAAAAACATGAACTCTCATGCGGAATTCGACAAGGTTCTCTTGTAGGTCGTTGTTTTTATGCCATAAAAATCTCAGATAATTTCGGTGGTCTTTTCTTACTACAAAGCAGTGAAACATGTGTTGAACGTCTGCAGTTACTGCGACCATTTCTTTCCTGAAACGCAGCAGTACTCCCAAGAGATCATTGGTCAAGTCGGGACCTGTTAACAGGACGCTGTTAAGTGAGACTCCGTTACATTTTGCGGAAGAATCAAACACACCCCTAATCTGATCGGGTTTCTTCGGGTGATAAACACCAAACAATCGTAAATACCAGCACTCTTCATGTTCGTCCAACGGTGGAGCGAGCTCTGCATGATTATTGTCTAGGATCTTACTCATAAATGTGAGGAAGTGTTCCCGCTTTACTAGGTTTCTATTCAGGCTTGCGTCTAACATATTAGCACGATGAAGAGCTTGTTGTCTGTTGATAGGCAAAGACTGTCTTGGCACTCGGAACGGTAACGGTGCTACCCAACTTCCTTCCGAGTCTCTGACAAATTCGTTGTCCATCTGTTTCATGAACATTTTGTCTTCAAATGACATTCCGGGTTTATCATCGTCCCTAGTTTTTTCAAAGAGAGGCGATTGTAAATCTTTCTTAACGGTGTCTGTGTAGTTTTCCCGAATGTCGAATTTGCTTGTACATGGTTGAAACGTTGACGGTTGTCCTGTAGGTAAAATGTTGGTTATTTTGACATTTAATTCAAGAGGCACATGCTGCTTGTTAATGCAAGTTTCTCCTATCACTACCCAACCCAGTTTCAACTGTTGTGCATATGGAGTTCTGGGTGGTTCTATGCGCTGATCCAGGACGTGGTGTGCCTCTATAAGGTCTCTGCCAATTAAGAGAAGAATTTGGCAATTTTCCTCTATTGGTGGAATGCTACCTCTGAGTTCTTTTAAATGAGGGTGATGCATTACGACTTCAGGAGTCGGTATTTTGTTCCTATTATAAGGAATATGGTCACATTCTATCAGTACAGGCAGGTCAAATTTGTCATTGCCATTTATTGATTCCATGACGAAACCTCTTCCTCTTTTCCCGGAAGTGACTACTCTGCCGGAGCATGTTGATAAGGTATAGTTCTCCGGTTTGTTTTTTACGTCGAAAAGGTTGAATAATTCAGGCGATGCTAGTGACCGGTTGCTTTGGTCGTCAATGATGGCGTACATCTGGATAACTTTGTCCTGGTTATCCTTGTGATAAACATTCACAGGTAGTATTTTAGCACAAGATTTCCCGCTATATATATCTTTGCAGATCTCGGCACAGGTAGAATTAACTGAGGTTGACTTAGTTTCAGCCGATTCTGTTGGCTCCCCGCCGTAGGCTTGCTTGGGCGGGCTAGACTGAGAACTTGCAGGTTGCTGTGGTTTAATGATGTGAAGTGCAGTAGTGTGTTGTTTACTTCCACATTCTTTACAACTTATGCGTGCATTGCATTCCCGGCTTCTGTGTGTGGTGGAATCACAACACTTGTAACAGACATTGTTTTGTTTCAAAAGACCTTTGCGTTCCTCAATTGACTTGGCTCGGAACGCTCGACATTAATTTAAGGAATGCTTTGTATTGTGCAGAATACAAAGACCTTGTTTGCAGGCGTCTCCAGATTGCTGCTCAATCGCTGTCTTACGAGTACCAACTTTAGTCTTGGCGTAAGACGTGAACCTTGGCGCAGCACCTTTTGTATTTGGTGTGGCTTTTGACCCAAAGATGAACCCAGGATCATTCTTTGTTTTGCTAATTTCCCTGATGAAAGCAGAGAATTCTGTGAAAGGTGGAAAGGCAACTTCATATTTAGACTTGTATCTTGTAGCCCTTGTTATCCACTTTTCTTGGAGTCCGTATGGTAATTTTTCAACAATAGGATTTATCCCGGACGAAGAGTCAAAATATGCTAACAAACATCCCAGCTTGGGATTTTCTTTGTGATACTCTATTTCTGATAGAATATCGGACAAGTCATAAAGACGTGCGCTATCTTTGTTCGTCAAAGTAGGGAAGTTGACGAGTTTACTTGTGAGAGAGGCCTCCAACATTTCTGGAGCACCATATCGCTCATCCAGTCTTTGCCATAACCTTTGTATGCCTTTTGTAGGATTATTTGCGTTCGACGCTCTTATGCTAATGGCATGTTTAGCAGACTCTGGCCCGAGCCACTTGATCAATAGGTCTATCTGTTCAGAGTCAGAAACTTGTAATTCGTCTGTGACGTTTTTAAAGCTGGCTTTCCATGTATGGAAGGATTCTGCCCGGTCATTAAAGCTTGTTAGCCGGGAGAACAGCAGGTCCTTGCGTAGGAGAAATCTGGTAATCTCCGACGTAGGGTTGATTTGTTGCTGTCGTGCAACAGGGATCTCTTCTGCAACACCCTGTTTTTAGTGTTCAGCAAGGATCTCCTCTGAGACGCCTAGTTTTTGGTATGCAACAGGGAACTCTTCTGAAACGCCCTGTTTTCCTATGCCAGTTATTGTTCCCAGATCTGGGAATACATTAACTTCCGGTGACTGAGCATGTGTAGGCAACACCGCAGGTGTCTGTGATGGCAGGTTCAATGCCGATGAGGGCACGAAGTCTGGCGCTTCATGACTTAGCTCATACTTAACAGACGTTTGTTTTTTCTGTTGAGGGGCTGTCGCTTCCTGTATGGCGGTTGGTTCAGGATGTTTATTAACAAAGTCTTGCACACGTTGGAGCGGGTCTTCCGTCTCTTTAGGGAGATCGTCTAGCGCTTGGCTGTCATCGTACTCTAGGATACGAGCCTCGGCTTCTGCGGCTGCAGCTTCTTTCTGTGCTTCTAGAAGGTTTAACTTGGCTTTCAGCTCGGTTTTTTTCCGGCTGACACGTGCGGCCTCCTGTTTAATTGTTGCTTTCCTGCGTATGGCCTCTTGCTCTGCTTCATGCTCCATTTTAGTTTGTCTGAACAGGGCTTGTTCCTCTAACATTGCCTCCTGTTGTAGGATAAGTGCATGTTGTTCGACAAAGGCTATTTTTGATTTAGCGGCCTCTGCTTTGACACGCTTCCTCCGTGCTAGGCTCGACATGTCAGACACGTTAGATCTACCACTATGTGAGGTATTCTTACTTTTTGAGGTCTTTGTTTTAATAGATTTAGCCTTTGTCAGGTCGAGCCGATGTTCGTGCAATGTTTCTAGGGCATGGTCCACTTTGGACAGACGAATATCCAATGTGAGATTGCATGCGTCTCGGTCTTTTTGACTGTCCAATGTTCTGGTCCTTTTCAGAAAGTCCAGGTACTCATCTGTGAGCCTACGATAATTTGTGCAGGCTTTAACAATGTTATCCTGGGCTGTCAAGATTTGCTGGATCTTGTTAGGAGGCGTGGTGACTTCTGATAACTGGGACTCTACATCTGACCAGAGGGCCTCTAGTTCCTGACAGAACTTGTCACGTTTTTCTGTGAAAGCTCCTTTACCTTTTTCCGTGAGGTCTCGTACTCGCCTCGTCTCGGTATTTTCATCTAAATGTGTGGTATTAGACGGATTCTCTATAAGTTCTTCAGGGACATCTCCCTCTGGGGGCTGAACCTCTTCTTGCTGTTCCGCTTGACTGGGATCCATGATGGCTCAACGTTGTTTGTTTGCTGCCAAAACACAAGCTGTGTTGCGTAGTGTCAAGGTAACAGCTACGAACGATGCTCCGTTGTATTTCCTGATCAGGAGATATGTAGACAAGTTGTTGTCAATTTACTATGCTGAGCCGGACTCAACTAGTTTAACCAGGTGACTGAAATCGCAATCTCGGCAAATATATAACGAACACAACTTGTTTTGAAAATTGTAATTATAGTATTCCACCAGAAAGGTTTACAAGTAGTCAGTAGATTGTTTGTGGTAAACTGCAATAAAACAAAAAGAAATACTTACAATGTGTATGAAAGAACATATTAAAGTTCATATGCAAATATTTAAAACAATGAAATGAAAACGAAAGTAGAATTTACAGTTCCAATCTCGGTTATAAATAACTTACAGTTCGTATGCATTTAATAAATCACTTATCCAAATTAACGGACTTAAACAGATTAAATTATCACAGTTTATAAATGAATAAAACGTACTTGACAGTGATATGTCTCGATTTCCTCAGAAAATTAAATGTCGTCCATGTTACATGTGTTGAAATATTGAAGCAGACGGTGTCACAGAAATTAAAGGCAGTCAATACGTACGGTGATGTAAGAAATCGGTCCAGTGATATTTGTTCCGGATGATTATGAAAACATATAGTAAACATTGAATGTGAAACAGAATAACTAGTGACATTTAAAACATACTTGTTTATCTCAGTAAACAAAAATAACGTGTGAAGCCAATTTTGTTATTCACAAAAAAGCCAACAAGTCATTTTTAGATTTATTTTGTATAGTTAAGAATTAATTCCTAGTTAAATGAAGATGGCGTTAGTTATTATCAAATGTTGCCGAAGTATACATATTTCAAACTTTGAATATATCACGAAACTTTTTTACCTTGGCTTTTGATAGTTTCTTTTTGAAGAAAGAGCATATATATATAAACAAAAATCAGAACTACACTTTTACTTTAAACTAAAATGGATTGATATTTGACAGGCTCTGCGGAAGAAGATTCATGGTTCAACACAGAAATTATTAATAGTAAGTATGTTAATAATTTTTACTGATTAGATCCAAAGATTTTTTTTTAACTCAATTTTTTTTTAAATTGAAACATGAATTGGTAGAATAGTTGCAGTAAAGATAATTATAATTCTAAAACACGAACATAAACATGAAAAACGTTAATTCCAATTCTGTTTATTTAATTATCATAGTTTATAAATAAACTCATCATCAAACATGATCATAGATACCAGAATTATGTTTTTAAAGCCAAAGGCACGTTTCATATTCAAAAGACACCTGCATTGCGCTTGAATTCACTCAATAAAATGAAAAGATTTGTGTATTCGCAGGTTATTTGTGCATGTCTCATGATTTCACAAACATTATCAATCCCTTCTTGAATTAACAAAGTCTGCATTTAGATATAGTTACCTGCCCTGAAATATTAAATAGATATTATTCTTTTGAAAACAAATATATTTTATCCAGGTAATTTTTGGGGGGATATGTGACTTAAAAAACATGTTTCGTGCTATGGTATCTGTAATATCATGTATTAAATAATGTGTCAAAATGGGGACGTTAAATCAGATGCCTCTTGTTGAAAGAGTGCCACTCTATCTGCACGTTAATGACCTTTGTAACAACACTTTGAGAGATGAGTAGTAAGACTGTTTGAAAACACGATTTCTTTGTTTCCAGTGGTAGTCAAATTTCACCGACCTTCATCTCGGAAGGCCAATATTACAGCCCCCCCCTTTTTTTATTAATGTGAATTGGTTCTAGTACTGAACATGCATGAAATATGTACCACTGAACTTTAAGAAAACATCAATCAGTCAATCATTTATAAAAAAGAAAATTTCATATAAATTACCTTTAACAACGTTTTGCATTGTATTGTATGCCTCTGTTTATTAAATTAAAGGTAACTGAACAGTGTTAATTGTTTTTGCGCATTGTACAAATTATTGCCATTACGTTTTTGTGCAGAACTATTAATAATTTGTATTCATTATTTTGTATTATAAGTTATTCTCATGCTATAGAATCTCCATCTGAGGCAAGACGATAAGTTTAAGTTGAATGGATTACCTTAGCTGTATTGGCAAAACCTTTAGATATTGGTCCTCAATGTTCTTCAACTTTGAACTTGATTTTGCCTTTTTAACTTTTTAAAATCGAGCGTCACTGATGAGGTTTTTTTTAAAGATCACTAAGCATGCGTTTGGCGCACACACTTTTAATCCGGTACCTTTGGTGAGATTATTGAGGGATCTTAAATTCAGTATATGTGAACTTTATTTATTTCAAGATATACTAAATAAAGAAAAACTCAATTGGAAAGAGAAAACGGAAAAGTTCGTCAATACAAGAGCTACAAAAGTAATTTTGAAGAGAATCCAGAACAACAATTGTATATTGATAAGTGGACCTCCAGGCGTTGGTAAAACAGCAAATGCATATTTTGTGGCCTTTATTTTAGAGAAAACTCATAAATCCATGGTAATGGCAGTGACTGCTAGTGATCTACATAAGTATGTCTTGTCAAGTATAAATCAAGTTTTTATAATTGATGACATTTTTGGAAGGTATTGCTGTGACACAGATTTCGGCCTTATTTGTTCTTCTGTAAGAACAGTGTTAGATTACCATGCTAACACAAAAATAATAATGACCTGTAGATCACAGATATATCATTTGGTGCAGAATCAACTAACTTTCGAGAATATCTCGTTTGAACATTGTGATTTTCTCTTAGATGAACTTCAGTTATCAGTTGATGAAAGAAAGGAGATAGTCGAATCTTACATAAATAGTGGAATCATTAGTGAATTTAAAGATAATGTTTTCATGTTATACAGCTTTTTTCCATCTCTTTGTATAATTTTTGCAGCAAGTAAAGAAAATGAAATTTTTTTCACATATCCTCTCAGCTATATAGCTTACGAAGTCAACAACATTAAACTGAAATCAAATGAGACATACTTAGTGTTAGCGCTGCTCGTGGTTTTAGACAATCTTGTCGATGAAATGGTTCTAGATGAACATGACGTTAAGACTGACGTCATGCTTAGAGATATATTTTCAGAGTCGGGGATTTTGCAAACTCCATCCAAAGGCTTAATGTTATCTACGCTGAGATCATTAGATGGTACATTCGTTAAGAAGTGTGATCGCTGTTTTTCATTTATGCATAAATACATGTTTAATGTGATGATTGGTTGTATTGGTCACCATTTTATAAGAAGTATACTAAAATATGGATCTATTGAATTTGTGCTGAAAAGAATACAGTTAGCTTCTTTATTAGAAAATGTTGACAGTTTCATGATAAATGTTACTCCAGACTTGTACAATGAATATTTCACTCGATTAATACGCGACATAAGTCATGGATATATATCTACTGTCTTTGCAAATAAGCAAATGTGTTCAGGTAAGTTTCGAATGGAAATGATGCGACACTTTGGAAAACTTTTAAAGGCAAAAGATATTGTTGATGCTAAAGACAAATCTACTGTTATTCATAAAGTGTCATCATCGGGTTACACTGATTTTTTAGCATATTTTGTGAAAAATGACATGCCAAACATTGATAAACAAGACTTAAACGGGAAAACAGCTCTTCATTTGGCTGTTTTGCATAGGCATCAGCACATTGCTGAAATTCTTTTACAACAAAAAGCGGACGTGCATCTCCGAGACAGTGACAGTCTTAGTGCGATTCATATAGCTTGTAACAATGGTGACCTACACATGACAGATATATTAATAAAACACAAAACACACAAAAATAAGAGAGACAATCATGGATTCACCCCACTGCATCTGGCATCCATAAGAGGTCATACTAAAGTCGTAGAACTTCTTGCACAGGCGAAGGCCAAAATGAATGAAGTTGATTACATTGGAAGAACACCATTGTATGTGGCTTGCGAAATGAATAATGTGGACACAGTTAAATTTCTCGTACAACACCTTACACTGAAGGATATTCATATTGAAGAAAACAAAAACGGTTTTACACCACTTCATATTGCATGTGAGAATGAACATACAGATATAGTAGATACATTGTTGAAATACGGTGCAAACGTAAATAGACCTTCAAAAAATGACACACCAATGAAAATAGCAAAACGGCATGGAAATAAAATTATAATCAAACTTTTACGGAAATTTGAAGAGATAAACACGTTACAAAAGTGATATCACAAACATTGGCTCATAATGTTAACAAAATTAGTTTTTCATTAAAAAAAAAGGATTATCGGATTTTTCCTATTTTATGTTTCATTTGCTATGTTTTAAAGTTAGGTAAAACATATGTCTTTATACACTATATATATATCTCTGGGAAAAAATTCTGTGAACAATATTTAGGCAGAATATACAAAAGGAACAAACAAAAATAATAATACTTACTTAATATGTTTTAAAAGAAATAATAAATTATACACAACTCCAAGGTAAATTCAAAAAGGAAAAGTGCATAAAAAATGTCAAAATCAAACGTTATTAACCAACGGAACAAGTGAAAAACAACTGTCACATTCCTGACTGGTACATGCATTGTCCGAAGAAAATTGTAGGTTAAACCTGGTTTTATAGCTAGCTATTCCTCCCACTTTTTTATAGTTCCGTTAAATTGACAAAATTGAATGAGCAACCCAAACAGACATAATAGGTTAATTTGACAATAATTTGGATTCAGCAGAAAATAGAGCTGGTAAAGTAAATGAATTGGCTTTTATGAATGAGGTATTGAATACAATTCCGTGTTGGTGCGTGTACTGTGTCTTTATTTGTTGTGTGTTTTCCTCTTACGAGATATGCACCATATGGTCTAGATGGCAATGAGGAAGGTATATACGCACGTGAAACTGGATTAACCCCCACAACCCCCACAACCTTCTGTGCCTGTATTAAACATCTGTATTATGTGTTTTTATTGTTGTTTGTATTTTTTCACTTCGTTTACTTCATTTATCTGTTTTTCAAAGGAGTCTAGTCTTCGTTGTTAGTGTTATATTTTGTACTTACCAATATTTTGGGTAGTGTCTGTAATTTTGTTTATGTATTTTACACAAAGATTTAAGTACATAATTTTCATGGTATGTTACTAATTTAAAAAAAAAAATTGGAATCGACATAAGAAAACCTAAAGTTAGATCGTTTTGCAGTTACTTTATTATAGGTATTTGAGTTGTTTATTTTGCAGTTGATGTATGGTCAATTCTAACTTAAGCAGGAAATACGACCAAAACTAGTTGTTACTAATGGTATTTATTTCTCACGAGTTATATGGAGGTGCAAATTGATGTGAACTATTTTGCATAAATAGAACATCTATTAAAAAGAAATGCGGTTTGTGTCTTCTGAAATTAAATATTTCTGACCATCAAAATTATATCATAACTAGTAGACAAACCCAAGATGCAGATCGCGTTTTCCGAAATGAAATATTCCTTATCAACTTAATTTAATAACATACGAATCACAACTAGTAGACAACCCATATGTATACTGTTTAATTGAATTAATCAAAATCACCATATGTTTCCAGTTGTTATTTTCATTGCAGAAAAACAAATAATACATTTAAGTGTGTAAAGAAAAATGAAATAAACGACCAGTAGTTTGGTGCTATACAAATGGAAAAAAAAATTATTGTTTGTTTTTGGTTTTTGGTGTCTGTTTTTTTTTTTTGGGGGGGGGGGGGGGGGGGTAGTCGTTACTGCTAGATTTATTGTGTTTATGTACAGCAATGAACATCCATCATGATTATTGAAATTTGTGTGTTTTGATTAAGGATTGTCTTAACATTATCTTTAGAATATAAACATCCAATAATACATTAATTTGCTAAACGTTTCTCCGAGTCCAGACCCAAACTTCTTACCCAAGTTCGCTTTTGATTTGCTTTCTGAGTTGTTTGAGCTTAAAATTGTTTTGTGTTTAATGCAATTTTGCTACCCTTTTACCAATTTCGGATGGTAAACGTTTTTGATGAAGTTAAATCCAGAAAAAGTCACAAAATGCTGAGAAAAAAAAATGAATTTGATTTGTGACATATTACCTGGTTTATTGTGACACGTGATTTGAACGAATCTATCCCATCGAACTAGAGATAAAGGATACTACAGATACAGTTAAGTTTGCCTCGTATCTTGACTTACATCTAGAAATTGACAATGAGGGTCGGTTGAAAACAAAACTTAACGACAAAAGAGATGATTTCAGCTTCCCAATTGTGAACTTTCCATTTCTATGTAGCAACATTCCAGCAGTATATATCTCTCAATTGATACCATATTCCCGGGCTTGTATTTCCTATCATGATTTCCTTGATAGAGGATTGCTGCTCACAAGGAAGCTATTAAACCAAGAGTTCCAAATGGTGAAGTTGAAATCATCCCTTCGTAAATATTACGGACGCCATCACGAGTTGGTTGACCGTTATGGAATAACCGTTTCACAGATGATATCGGATATGTTCCTTATGTCGTAACTACAATACCCTTCCCTTTTCACGAATGTGACCTATCGAATTATAAAAAAGAAGAATTGGTATGATTGCCAATGAGACAACTCTCCATAAGAGACCAAATGACACAGAAATTAACACTATAGGTCACCGTACGGCCTACTACAATGAGCAAAGCCCATACCGCACAGTCAGCTATAAAAGGCCCTGAAATGACAATGTAAAACGATTCAAACGAGAAAACAAACGGCCTACTTTAGGTACAAAAAATGAACGAAAAACAAATATGTAACACATAAACAAACGACAATCACTGAATTACAGGCTCCTGACTTGGGACAGGCACATACATACAGAATGTGGCGGGGTTAAACATGTTAGCGGGATCCCAACCCTCCCCCTAACCTAGGACAGTGGTGTAACAGTACAACATAAGAACAACTATAAAAATCAGTTGAAAGAGGCTTAACTCATCAGATGGATAAAAATACAAATACTACAAATACAAGTGGCCGGGTATTTGTACATCCAAACAACAAAAAGACACTAAGTACAGATCTAAAAGTACTCGCAGTTACTGACAGCTAGTTCAAAGCCGCTTACAACTAATAAAAAAATCATGCATCTAAGACTAAATTATCAATCCGTACACATCCAACATTCAATGGATTTAGTGTAAAGACGTCATAAACAGTCAGAGAAAAACATGACCTTGTGCAATGCCAAGATACAGGTATCGACAGATTGTAGATCCATGAATGTTTATTTGTATATAACAATAATATTGAGTTTGCTTTTAATTTACTGATAACAAAATCAATATTAGTACCAATTATTAAATATTTAATGATCTAATTACAGTGTTGAATTTGTAACCTTTTAAAATAGTTTATTTAAAGGATCAATAAGTTTACCAGGATCGTTTCTAAATTTCCGGGCACGGTAAACAATACTGCTGTAAAAATGAGGATGTGCAATCCCGTTTGAAATAAGTTTTCTACAGACATGACAAAAATTAATCTATTTACCGGATTTGTAATACCATAAGCAAGAAAACGGGTGTCACATGTGGAGCAGGATCTGCTTACCCTTCAGAAGCACATGAGATCACCCCCAGTTTTTGATGGGGTTCGTGTTGCTTAGTTTTTAGTTTTCTATGTTGTGTCATCTGTACTATTATTTGTCTGTTTGTCTTTTTATTTTTGGCCATGGCGTTGTCAGTTTGTTTCGATCTATGAGTTTGACTGTCCCTCTGGTATCTTTCGTCACTCTTTTAAATTGTACAATTTGGTCGTGTGCTGCTTACTATTTCCTCGAACTTCCTTGGACACCCTTTTTAAGTATCCGATATTCAACGACGTGAAATGTTTTTTTCTAATGTTACTTTGTACCTTTGTATCCACAGGAAATATCAACATATAAACTATTTACCTTTATAAATAACCCGGTGAAAACAAAATCATCAAAGATACCAGGCTTAAAATGTTGTACGCCAGAGCCAGTTATGTCTTCATATCACTCAACAATGGCGGTTAAATTAAAAAAAATTAGGACGGCAAAATTAAATAGAAAGTTGAAGAAATGTTTCTAAATATTAACCTCCACACATGCATTTTGGCTTTTAATTGATAGTCATTAAACAGTGTTCAGATTTTTTCCAATCGAAAGTAATTACATGTTTTTCATATCTGTCAGTGTACAGTACAGGCTTTCCTTTTTTATGTTGCACATTTTTTTACTTTTAAAACCGCGTTTGGGTTGCTTTCTCTTCATTATTCAATTTAACATGATATGGGTCTACAATATGCTGCTGTCCTTTTCACGAAGAAACCACAGTTGACAACTTAAAATTTCCAGCTACTAAGCAAGTCAACTTCTAAAACCCAAATAAAGGAATACGAGTGGATGCTCTCTGTGAAATATGAAATGTCTTGTGTGAACAAATCTACATACACGTATCTCTAAGGGCAAGGAAAACACATGTACATTGTCTAATTATTATTTTGCTTTACAAGTCATAATACAGATATACGAAAAAACCTGGAAATATCATTCACAAAATTTTCAAATTTATAACAGATATTGTTCGTTAAGAATATAAACTGTCTTTTAAAGATTCTTTGTACGATTAATACATGTACAACAATCTGCTTCATTTTTCATCTCGTATTTACTTCATCACTTGTGAACTAGAAATAATGTCAATAGCTGTCCGAATAATACGCTTTCAGTTGGAAATAATATATTTATAGCGTGATGTTTACTCTAATTCGAGGAAAACAAATGTTTCTTCAAATTTATTTTGGGTTAATTTCCTGTTATGATACTATAGTCACTTTAACTGAGTGATTCGCGTGTTTTGCTGTAAAACACTTGCTTTTGGCATTTATGTTCTGAATAGAATTTAGATTTAAGCATCGAGCAGCCATATGTTTCTCCTCTGATAAACATAGGCAGCGCTTATTTCAATAGCTGTCATGGATTTTGTCACAACTTATATAAGAGAGAGGGAGAGAAAGATTCTACCTCAAGACCACCGTTTAGTGTGATTTTTATCAATTCGAAATTTGAAAGAACTTATTCATATGAGCGCAAACAAATACATATATCGTAAAGGGTTCCCTTGTACCACGTGTCTCTCCTCAAATTACTGCTGTCAGTGTAACAGATTAATGTTGACTGTAAAAAGTGAGTTTATTTATCAGTAATATACAGGGTAAAAAATAAAAAACCTTTTCATTAGATGCTATTTCTTGATATTGAATATTACCTTCTCTCCAAGTTTCATAACATTCCATGACG